CACCCCTTTAGTTTCCCCCCTACCCTTTTCCCCCCCCCCCCCCCGGGGAAAATTTTTCCGGCCTTTCCAGGGTTAGGGGGAGATTCGGGCCCCCCCCGGCCCCCCCCCCCCCCCCCCTCGGAATATTCCGTCCCGGCGCGCGAAGGTTGAAGATTTGGGCCACAGCGGCAACCCGGATGAGAAGGACCTGGACCGCTACCTGAAGGCGCACGACGACTTGCAGACGGTGCTGCGCGTCTACGAAGGCGTTGTTGACGGCAGCGAGACCTTGCCCCTCTCCCGCAGGGGTGGCGGCGGCGGCGATGGCGCAAGAGGAACCGGCGAGGCAACGGCTGCCGCGGAGGCCAGCGTTTGCCGCCACCGCCGCCACCGCCAAAAGCAACGGCGCTGCCTACAGCGGCGACGACAATGCGGTCGAGAACGGCGGGGCTGCAAGAAATGGCGCGGCGGCGGGGGCGGCCGTGGCTGCCACCAGCGGAGGCAGGAGCAGTCCCGCAAGGGGAAACCTGTTGGATCTCGAGGAGAACACCCCGTTAGAAACGCCCATGACCGGAGCAGGCGCCGGCGGGATGATGGTCGCGTACACCGACGGGCAGTTCATGGCCAGTACCTCCAATAGCGTCGGGGGCGTGAGCGGTGTTGGTGGCGTGGGCTTCGATAGCTTGTCCGGCACTGGACAGGGGAGCGCGACCGCCAGCAACTACGCGAGCGCCAGCGACACCGGAGCGGTGTACGGCAGCAACCAGTTCGGGAGCAACCACAACAGTAGTAGTAATAACCTCGGGAGCACCAACTTCGGCAGCGGCGGGGGTGGCGGAGACGGCTCGTCTGGCTTTGGTGAGCGAGAGATTCTAACGGCGGTGTGAGGCTTAGCCGGAGGATGGGATTTGGCGTGCGGTTCTACCGAGGTTACGGAAGGAAAAGTGGCGTTGGGCTGGCAACTAGGCTTGCTGGCGTAGAGTTGAGAGTGGGGGAGTATCGGCGAAGAGAGAGGCTTAGCAGTTGAGTTTCTTTTTTTGAGCATCCTCTCATTCTCTCGTCCCAAAATGTGGTCGTGTTACGGCAGTTGGCACGCGAGGGTATGCGCTCTTACGCCGTGTTGAATATCCGTACGAAGGAGTAGACATGTATCCGTCCGTGTAGAGGTAAACTCGAAATCAGGACAAGTGTGTGACCATGGGCGATTTGCCTTGCGCGTTGAAGCAGCTAGCGTGGCGTCTCACCTCAAGGGCACGAGGACGGTCGCTCCCTTGCTTAGCGGTAGGCGGTTGCTATCGTGGTCGCTGTCGCTGCGCTACCTCCCCCATTCCGCCGCGATTCCCACCCCCCAAAACCTTGTGCACGTGTATCCCCGTCCGCCAATTGTTCTCGTAGCCCCGAGGGACCCTTTCGCGGCGGCGTTCGGGGGAAGCGCGCCCAACGCAGCGGCGCCGGGTACGCTTCCGGGCGCGCCAGATGAGCCCGCCCCGCGCCCGCTGTCGGGGTCTTTCCCCGGAGGCCTTCCCGGGAACCAGTCGTCGTCGATCGTCTCGGTGACGTCATCAAGCGCCACGAACCGGAACCAAGGCGTGATGGGGGCCGCTCAGCAGCGGCAGCCCCCGTCCACGGACTTCGGGTCTTGGATGTCGTCCAGGGGAGGGCCGGGCGGGCCGGGGGACCCTTTCGCGCCGCCCCTTCCCTCCGCCGGGTTCGCGAACGGCCTCCTGGGGGGTCCCGGGCGCCACAAGCTGTACTCTCTCCACGAGTCGCCGTCTTTTTCTTCAAGCAACGGCGTCGGCGTCGGCAACGATGGCAGCGTCGGCGTCGGCGGCGCGGGGGGGGGAGGCGGGGCCTCCAACCCTTTCGAGATGACCCCGGGGGTTGCTGCGCCCGCTGCGAGGGCCGAAGCGACGGATCCGCTCTCGGCCGGGGCGAACGGCACCGGAGGTGGGGTGCTCGCTGTCGGGGGAGCAGGAGGGTTTCTTCCTCCACAGCAGCAGCAGCTGGGGATGTTGCCTTCGTCGACGACGTTTGCTTCGGGGAGTAGCGGCACTAATCGCAACCGGTCATTCTCGGAGTACTCTGCTACCAGCAGCCAGGGCCCCCAGCAGCCGCAACAGCAGCAGCAGCAGCAGCAGCAACAGCCGTTGCAGCAGCCGTTCCCGTCCCCGGCGGGTCAGGCCGCTCTTTTTCCACAACAGCAACAGCTTCGACAGCAATCTCAACAACAGCAGCAGCAAGCAACGATGTGGTGGCAGCCCCAGCCACAGGGGCAGCCCCTCCAGGGGCAGGCCCAACAAGGCTCCCAGCAACAGCCGCAGCAGCAGCAGCAGCAGCAAGCTGCTGACCCGTTTGCGGGGGGCATGGGACCGGCAGCCGGCGATCCATTCGCGCAGGCGCAAGCACCAGCGGGTCAGGCTCCGAGAGTGAACAACCAGCTGGGGGGCGCGGCGGGATCGGGTAGCTTCGACTCCGGCACAAGTCGAACACTGGCGGGCAATTCAGCCGACTCGTCGGCGGCGTTCGGTCAGGCTTTGGTCGCGACGGGGACTGGCGGAGAGAGCAAGTACAATCCGTTCGACGACCCTCCAGCTACTACGATGTATGGAGGAGCGCAACAGCTGCCGCAGCAGCAACAACAGCAGCAGCAACAACAGCAGCAACAACAGCAGCAGCAGCAGCAGCAGCAGCAGCAGCAGCAGCAGCAGCAGCAGCAGCCACTACAGCGGCCACAGCAGCAAGGGCAACAGCAGTTCCCTCGACAGCAGCTGCCGGTTCAGCAGCTGCCGGTTCAACAGCAGCAGCAGCAGTTGCAGCAAGTTCCGCAACCGCCGTTCCAGCAAGCCCCCCAGCTGCAGGGCTACGGAGGACTGCAGCAGGAGCAGCAGCCCCAGCAACTGCAGCAGGAGCAACCGAGCAACGGGACTACACAACACTTCGTATAAATAGTACCATCCTGTCGAAGTAGAAACGATGGGATTTTTTTTACGTTTTCATCACAGCCCCTCGCATACTTTTGGACCAGTCGTATGTCTGGGGCCTAAAAGTCGCAGGAAAAGTTCCCAGAACGTTGTAAGGTCGTTTTGGAAAATGTCGTTCTGTGATACGTCTCTCTGCTGAAGGCGGTTAAACAGTCGTTTGGGGGACCGGGGTCGTTCATACCCTTTCTCCCACCTCCGTGGTTGTGTCTCCTGTGTAGTTTGTTTTAGTGCTTTGTTGAAAGGCGTTCGAGTTTGATGTTGTCTACACTTTTTCTGTCCGTGTGTGCATTCATCGGCCGATGATGGCGCTTGTGAGTCCGGAGCGGGGTAGCCTGTCAAAGGCATGGTTTGGTTACACCTTTGTGTTTATGCTGCTTGTCACCGGGAAATACGTTTGTTTCCCCGTTCATCTGGGTGTCTTCACGGTCGAGCGTGGACCATGCCTGCACGCACGGGTAGAAGACACGAAGGATCTTCCTTTCCCCTTGCTGTAGCGCCCTTGTGTGTTTTGAACGAAGTAGTATACGGCCAAAATCTGTCGCTTTATGTCGTCTGTACATACGTACAGTAGTAGCCGCTCTCCTACCGGACCAGGGTCAAGAGAATCTCACGCACCAGCACAAGAAAATGAAAACTATTTTGCCATACCATATCCCAGGGTGCACGCATTCTTATGTGCATTTAGGCGTCGGAAACCTTACCTCGGCGGGATAGGAGGGGTGGTCGCTCCGGACAGGTTGTGGGTGTTAAATGTAGGTTTCTTAGGTGTACATTGCTACAGGTTGGACGAGTATTTTGCTGTCGCACCGCCCGGGGTGTGACCTTGCGTTCCCTGGTCCGAGTTGCTCGAGGCAGCATGAGGGTTAACTGCGCGCCGAGAAGGCCGGTTTTGGAAGCGAAAGAAGCTCTGACCGACAAAGCAGGATGTGTACGTCATCGCGGGTCCAAGTTGTCATTTTTCCTTGCTTGGTTCGATGGGTGTCCCGAGTTTTGGAGCAGTTGAGGGATGGACAGGGGGTGAAACCAAGGCAGTAGGAGCTTCGCGTTCTCGTGTCGGCCCAGCCGCTCCGATATGCTTCCAGAGCCCGTCCAGTCGCAAGGGAGGAAGGAGCGTGATTGGCTTCCGAGTAGAGGCTGGTCTCGGAGGGGGGGTACTTTCCCGAAGTGTACATTTTCCGTACGGTTAGAAGATGATGGTGTTGTAAGCGCAACACGAGGAGGCCAGGTGTGTGTGTACCCTGAAAAATGGGGAAAAAGAGGGTTTGTTCGTTGTGGCGTCTCTTGTATGTCGTGTTGGGTACTGTTTTGTATTTGTGGTTGGTTTGTCGTTGGCTAGCCGTGGATGAAGCCACGCCGACATGACGAAAAACGTACCCGGCCTGCCTTTATTGTCTGGACTACGACAAGGTATTTTTATTCGTTGCCTATGCTTTTCATTTTAGGCTATGTTGGAGCTTGGACGTCGGGCAAGGAAGGGGGGGGTAAGGAGCGCAAGAGACCGGGCGGAGCACATAATATGTTTAGCGCTGGCCGAGTCGTTGGTTCTTTGCTTGATGTAGCGAGTTGATGCCTTGCGTGCAAGAAGACGGGGGCGCACTTTTTGTCGTGGTCGTTCAACCGATCCAGCCTACTGAAGTTGTAGCGTGTCACGTCCAAACCAACGGCTCTTGTACAGCAGTCAAGTCGAGAGGTGAGCAAAATCAACAAGTACCAAATCCGGAAGCAGACCACCAGTCAGTCAGCGAGTTGGCCAACGGGAAGGCCACCGTCTCACGAGACCCCCTATTACAAATATATGGGTGTACTTATTCCAAGGTGGCACTCGGAGACTCTTGGCAACGGTGCCAACGGGGCCAGCGGCCTTTCTCAACTCGAAAAAAAAAAAAACTGTCTGGAAGCTTAAGCTTGGCACCACACCGGACCTTCGTGCTCTTCCCCACCTGTTCTATCGTACTTGATCGAAAAACCCTGAGAAGGATACTGGGCCTTGGCAACCGCTGCTGCTGCCTCTGCTGCATGTTTCTTTAAAAAAATAAGTGCTCATCTAATACTGTACCTGCGGAATACCGACCCTAAACCCAATATCAAAATGACGTCGGCTGAGGTAAGCAACAAGTGGGTGCTGTGGCCTTCTTCCCTCCTATACGACCCCCAGCTGGTGCGTCCAGAGTTGTACATACCGAAGAAAGGTGCAAAGACCGACGCCCAGAATGAATATTAATTAATGAGATGAGAAAAAACAAACGAACACCTTTCTCGCGCGCTGCTGCTGTGTCGCCAACTCTCGACACAACATTGCGTCGTATTTGGTGCCCCTTTCAGCGACCAGACTCCCGTGAATTCCACGCCATCTCTTAAAGTACGTACTCCGTACAACAGCAGTCTCTCCATGGGATACATTATGGTGAAACAGTAGGTAAAGATATTAAGTGATGAACTTACAGAAGCAAAGAGACGAAACGGATGTCCATTGGCATAAGGGTAAATACACGAAAATTTCGTTTATATTCTACATGTATCAGACACGACTGACGTGACTGGTACCCCCCCCTGTACCACACCACCAGAAGCATACAACAGGACACGATTCATCGCCCATCCTGTCCTTGACGGATGTGCTCTGTTTCGGAATAGCAACGAGATTTAAGAATCTGGGCAAAAAACGTTCTATAGTATGGCCACAAGTTCTACAGGAATTCCCTAGCGTATATTCGACACCGCCGTACCGATCACCTTCGCAAACCTTGGACACGTCGTCTTGATATCATCGTTTGATTGAACAACGTGTACCGCTGGAAAATAGAGTCGAAAGAACCAAGACAGCAAAGAAAGGCACAAGAACTAGATCGAGAGCGAGCGTGACAGACCGTCCGCGCAACACCCAAACGTGCCAAGGAGAGCCCGGATCATACCTGACTGACTGTATCAGTTGGCTTCCTTCGAGGGCTCTCCTACAACAACCCTCCGTTGTAACCCTCACGACGCTGCCCGCCTCCCTCACCGATGACGCTCGATTCAGAATATATCCGAACCAACCCATGGAGTTATTCCAAGGTCGATGGGTTCAATACGCAAAAAACGGTTTCAACGTTTCAACCCTTCCACGCCGACAACTTCGATTGCGAGCCCGTAGGTGGGGTCAATTACCCCCAAGCCTCCGAACCTAAAAACACCCGAGTGAGGGCAATTGGGCAAATACCCCGAGCCTATGAATCTCACTCAAACACCCGAGGTTGAATTCCATTTGGTCGGTGTACCGGAAGGTTCAGCTTGCATACCCGCTCATGATCCCGTCGAACGATATCGCGACCGGCCGGTCGCTGCTGGCTGACACCGACGCCCGCTCGGCCATGTGCGTCGTCCGGCACGAGTCGTGGCAGGTCACCAGCGGCTCGGAGTTGCCCCTCAGAACCTCCTCAAACGCTCCCACTTCCATCGCGTAAGCCTGGGACAATATTTCGTCCGCGTATCACCGAGGGCGGCCGGCCGGTCGTGGATGAGTACACGCGTCGAACCGGGGTTCGTTGCGGAGGATTGAGGAAGGGGCTCGACCGGCTAGACCGGCGACATAGGGCTGGGGTTTGGGGTCGGTCGGGGCTAAAAGTGTTGCGGTGAAAATAGGAGCAGCGTTGATCGAGAGGTAGATGGACACGATGAGTGCCTCCGACAAGCTTGCTAACAATGGTCCGCAAGCATACCCTAGGCTAAGCCTTCAGCGAGTTGGGGGAGTCAGTTTGTGTGCGCATGTGTGTGTGAGGAGAGACAGAGAGCGAGAGAGGGATGGAGGGTGGGTTACTACTCATAGCCTTGCATGCCGTAGTCGTTAGACCATTGACCTCGCATCCCTACAAAGCCGGGACGGAGCGCACCGGGTTTTCACCGGACCAGGCCATAAGGGAGGAGGGGGGGGGGGGGGGCGTACTCTTATGTTTTGCATGCCTTAGCGGTTAGACCATTGACCACGCGTCCTCGAGAGGACGGAGCATTGTTCCCACAGGACCGATCACCGATGGCCAAAGGAGGGAGAGTGGGGGAGGGTTAAGCCCCAACGAAAGGGCGACAGGTCGCAATTAACACGTTTGCCTAGTCTACGCCAGGCCTACAAAAAAAACCGTATATATTAACTCGCGCAAAGTCCACCGGCCATTGTACGTCTTCTTATCTGGGCGCAAAACAGAGTGGTACTGCTTTGTGTTTACCTCACGGAATCGCTGCGGGAAGGAATGCTCGGGGGGAGACGTCGAGCACCCCGTGCTGTCGAAGAACTCCAGACCGGAGCTAGGCGGATTCCCTAAGCTCAGCATGCCTTTCTCGCCCATGACCTGCATGCGCAAGAACGATTCGCCGAGGTATTTGGCAGCAACACCGATGTGGGACACGCAGGGTTTGGTGGAAACCTCAACGACAGGAGGGACTCATCAGGAGCAAAACAGGTGAGATCGATGAGTGTCACGGGGTTTCAGGGGCGTTGCGTGCATCTACACGGCGAAAAAACGCATGCTTGACCTCCTTTTCTTATGAGTCTAGCCTACTCTTCTCATGAATATGGTACGTCGGGCCGAGGCAAGTGTCTATTGTAGAGGCTTGTGAGGGGCAGGGAACCTGTTCGTCCTCTGAACGAAAAATCTTCACGCGCGATTTTCCGAACGGGTTTCGACATGATCACCTCACCGATCGCAGTATTCCCTCCCGAGGACGGGCGTTACACAGCAACACCCTGCACACGACCAAGCATTTCCAGCAAGGCGTGCCAGCACTGCCTCTCTGCACTACCGCCGCGGCCACGTCGAGGCTGTCTGTAGCCTTGTGGGACCAGCACGCCACCGGACGGGCGGGGTTTTCAGTCGGCGAAAAAAGGAAAAGAACAGAATACTATCCAGCGATTTTCTTCTTTCGGACCTCGATTCGGTTGTCGTAGCCGTACGCGCTGCACCGGGTCATCTCCAGGGTGAACACGGCGCCCGAGGGGAACGTGAAGAGGCAGTGCGCGGAGTCCTTCACGCCGGCCTCCTCCAGCTGCGGCAGAAAGGACCGGGCGGTGGCGTAAACCTGCCGCAAACGTCACAGAGGAGAGAGAGAGAGAGAGAGAGAGAGAGAGAGAGAGAGAGAGAGAGAGAGAGAGAGAGAGAGAGAGCCAATTTTAACTGCCCGTGTTTTTCGACCGCGCCGGGTGGCTGGCCGGCGAAGAAGACATTTTGCTTAGCGGGGTGATGACCGACGCACAAACGACGCTATGTGTATATTATACCATTTGGTTCGCAGGGGGATCCCCCGATCGGGAGCCGCGGAGGACACTGAATGTAAGGGTCCCAAGGCACACAGTCGCTCGGGACGTGTTGCAACGGGAGATGTTTGTGCTGCTGTGCAGAAAAATGGGCTGGCGGCGAAGCGCCTGGCTGTCGAGTACATGCAGTCCTCTTCACAGAAAGACTTTTACGACCGGAGTCTTGCGGTGGAACGGGATTTCCTTCTGGAATACCTGGTAGTGGACAGAGATTTACAACGGAAGGGTAGGGTAGTTGGGGGGGGGGGGGGGGGGGGTGCAAGGAAGCAAAA